TTGAGTCTGTTCTCAGCTTTTTGAAATTGCAGTGCCCAACTCAAATCCTACTGGTGCTGAAAGGAGTAGAATGACAGTCCTGATAACATTCCCAGCTGTTAATATTAACCTTTCTTTTTGAAACACCATCGCTGTTACTACATTTTTACCACTCTCCAGTTTAGCCCACCGAAACGCCTGGAACTGTTTTTGCGGTATTATTACATAGAGTAATCCTATTTTGTATTTTTACATTTCATTTGGCCATCTTCCATACAACACTTAATCTTTGCTGATTTTGGACAACTTCTGTTTTTGAATGGGGATATTGTACCGCCTCCTAAAGCTTTGTTGTCTAAAATAATTTTAATTACTTGCTCTTATAAACTGTCAAATGATTTCAGGACTAAATCACGTCTACAGTGAAGAGGATATTTTTCATAATAAATGTAATTTGTAAAAATATTTCAGTAGATTTGACCTTCAGCAGACCTTTGTGTGATCACTAGCTGAAGCATTTTCCACTGAGATTGAACAACTGATAGGTAAGTTTGGAATACAGCTTTTGAGTTAATGTCCATTGTCACTGATTTAAAGTTATTTCCTTCATACCACTGTTCCATAGTTCATTACAGCAAACAGAAAGCGCTGTAAAATGCATACTCTTCTCAATAGAAACTGTATCTGAGGAAGGTCTGAAGCCAATCAAGGTCAGTAAGGCAGGATACAATATAGTAGACCCACAGCATCACTCAGGCAAGGGCCAGCACCTGTGTTTAAATGGAATTTCAGTGGGATTAGTTTGAGGTGACTTGTACTTCACAAATCCCCATTAGCTTTTTGGGAGGATTGTTTTATCACCCTATGCTATGGGAACAGGCAGGTTCTTTTAAGGATCCTTGGTAGAATGAGAAGAACTGGCCACAGGGCTGTAGTTATAATTATAGTTTTATTATATAAAGATTTTAGCATGCAATGTATCTTAGCATTACACAGAATTTCTAGCAATTAGTATAGCTTTCCTATTACATAAAATTTCAGTTACCTAGACTTTTCAGTCACCTGGACCCTCTGCAGATTAGATGAAATTCTTCATAATCAGCATGCAATAAAATAATCATAATTTAGATACTGAAGTTAAAAAGTACACAAGCGACTCAATCCGCAGAGAAAGAAGAATGATGGGGGGTGTCTCATGGTACACTAGCTGACAGTGTTCTCCATATCACACTGGGAATTATGAAGGCCTTAGCAGTTTATCTGCTGTGAGATCTACTTCAAAAATCTGGTGGTTAAGCTGTTGTATTTATACCTCTCAGTTTGGGAGTTTAGTCTTTATTGTAACCAAAAGTTAGTGGATACTGAAGAGGCTGCCAATCAGTATGTGAGTATTTTAGCTGCAGGAGGCAGCAAGCTGCAGGTGGTAATGGCTGTGTAATGATCTTTATCTCTTCATGTCCATTTTGTCCTGCCTGAGAACACACTTAATCTTTTTCTTTAAAAGAGAAACTGAGGCAACACAATATATTGAGGATTTTAGCCATATTGTCATCTATGTACTTCCCTATTTAGTAATGTGCCTCATCTTCCCAACAAGTTTTACTTTTAACATGATCTTTTTCCTATTCCAGGCAATTTCTTTTTGATGTCAATAAAGAGCTCTTTACACAACCAGTATTGGTTTCATATTATTCTTTGTCATAAGGGAAGTTTGCTTTTGAGACTCTTGTCTTTTCCAGTAGCTACCAACTCCCCTATACTTCTTTAATCTTGTATTTTTCCAGAGAGGTATTCACCCAGTTCCATGCATTTGAAGTTTTCTTGATCCTAAATACTGCACAAACGTATATTTTATGGAAGGACTGCCACTGCAGAGATTTTGAGTACAGATACCAGCAATTGATTATTCTACCTAAATGGTGAATAGCCAGAGTGACAGGACAAGAAAACAGAGCTCTAGTGGGTGTTCTACCCTGGCAAAGGGAGGGAGGAGGGGAAAGAAACTTAATAATCTCAGCTTCTAGAGCCTGTATGGCAGTAGTATCAAACTTGGTGACAACAGTGTTCTATAGCTGGCTTGCTCTGCTGTATTACATCTGTAGGCATATAAATGTCCAGTAAAGCACAAAAAAAATAAAGTATTCATAATAATTAAAAAGTGCTGTCCATTTGAAAAACTCAGTCTGTTTGCATTCAGAGCCTATTTTTGAGATGCTATTGGGCCCAAATGTAGATAAAGAAATATGTTTACAAATTTCAGTTAGCAATTTGTTGACTTGGATTTATCTGTTACTGTGTGTCTAAAAGCAGAGCAGTACAAGAAGATGAATCAATGGTGTTTAGGCTAACAAGGATGCTTAAGATGTGTGGGAATTATGAGCATTTAGGAGTGATGTGACCAGGACCTTACTTGTGGCAAAGGATGTTTGAATCTAATTCCATTTGAGAGTGGAAGGTATATGTTTATTGTTTGGGGTTTTGCTGATAAATGGGTCTGTTGTGCTTTGAGGTCTGTAGTCCTCTGAGGCATGGGTTGTACCTCATGAACACTACTGGTCCCGAGGACAAGCAATTGGCATTAAGTTCCCTGTACAGATCCTATAGTAAAAACAAGTGTCTAACGAATTATCAGATACTCTAGTTTTTGAATCAGTCAGTGCTGCTGAAAAAGTCATATAGGCATATCTTAAAAGCCTACTTGTGAACATCCTGGGCATGATTATTAGAAACCTGACTATATATCTGGGCCTGGGCCTGCTTTTGTGAAATAAATCAGTTGTTAGAGAAGGTTGTGACTTTAACAGATGTAAGGGAGACACTTGGTTAAGGCAGATAGGGTATTAGAATAATCTGAAACCGCATCTAGTGTGAGTTGTTCTGTGCTCATGAAATGAGGGCATCTCTTGAAAACAACTCAGTTTGGTTAATCTTGGATTTATATGATTAAACTCTCAGCTACTTATTGAAAGTGCAGTGATGTCTAAATGGCTGTATTGTTGTGAATCACACAACCAAAGGTGGACTTTTCATTAGTGCTACTGGAATCATTGTTTTTAAAAAAAAAAAAAAAGGCAGTATGTGAAATAATTATCTAATTGTGGCAAGGATTGTCAGCAATCCAGTTGACAAGCTGTATTCACTGATACTGGGTTACGAATGTGCCTTTTATGTGGCACAAATGAGAAAATATTGATAGCTGTGTGTCCAACTAGAATGTGTACTCCTATGAAAATTGAAATACTTCATGAAATCTTGTCAACCTATAATTTTCTTTTCCTTTCATCAGTGTCCTTTCAGTTTCTTCTACAAAGGCCAGTTCCTTCATCAGATGGTGCTTCCAGAATGAAATGCTGTTTTTAAAAATAATCTTTTAAAATTTTTTTTTAATGTTTTGTTTCACAGATAGTTACAGATCAGTCACAGTGGAGTTTGTTGTTTTGGGGTGGATTCAGAGAACATTCTGAAACTCAGTTTTTAAAAAGGAGAATGATTTAATTTTGAAATGGTTTTACAAGCATAATTTCTGCATTTAGCCCAGACCAGTGCCTAGTAAAGGCAAACCATCTGATGGCTGGTACTTCAGTATTCTTGTTCTGCAGTGAAATGTGAAGTATGTCTTGAGAATCACCAGCTTGAGCCAAACACTTCAGGGCATTTTTATGTCATCATTGCACTCATTTTGAATAATTTTTTTGAGTGATTTGCTGAACCGGGATAACATAAACACTTTAAAATAGTACTGAAACATTGCTGAATTATTTGGAAGCACAGAATCATACAGGTTGGATAGGACCTCTGGAGTTCTTCTGGTCCTTAGTTTTAATCAGTAAAAGATGTCTTTGGCAAAAGCTTTTTGAGGAAAAAAAAACAACCCTACCTACCACAACAAGAGGCTGTCTCAAGTCTGAGAATATTAAATATTACTCTAAAATCAACATACAGCATGCCCAGCAAGATGCATACCAGCCACACTTCTCTTGATGCAGCCCAGGGCACGATTGGCTTTCTGGGCTGCAAGCACACATTGCCAGCTTTTATCCAATTTAACAACCACCACTATGCCTCAGCTCTTCTCCGCAGGGCTGCTCTCAATGCACTCATGGCCCAGCCTGTATTTGTGCTGGGATTGCACTTGGCCTTGTTGAATTCCATGAGGTTTGCAGGGTCCCTCTGGATGGCACATCCCTTCCCTCCAGTGTGTCGACCTCACCACACAGCTTGGTGGTCAGCCAACTTGCTGAGGGCACACTCAATCCCACTGTCCATGTCACTGATGAAGACATTAAATAGTATCAGTCCTGGTATGGATTCAGCAATAAGCTTTGGGAATCCAGGCAAGGCAAATTTTGACCGGCAAAACAGGTCTCATTTTTTTCAATCTTCAAGTGAAGGACAAAGGACTGGATGGAATGAAAAACAGAAGTGGGGGGAATACCTGAAGCTCTGAAAACCTTTGTGGTGGGGTCTTCAACAGAGCACAAGAGGATCAGGCATCCATAGTTGCTTAGATCCTTTCAAAATCTTAGCCTAGATAAAATGCATTATAAAAACCACCTGTGAAATTAGAGCTGCTCTGTCAGCTTTTCTTCCTATTACTCCCGACATGTTTTCCTTACCTTCTGGTATTGAGAGGCCAGTTTGGGGCAACACAGCCTGAAAAACTGTCAGTTTTCCTTAATTGTGCAAATATATCATGATCTGAAAAGTACTTCAATTTACCTGGAGGAGGACTTCACTGGGAAATTACATTACCTGGTATATAGCCCCTACAGACCCTCGCAGGATAGGATACGGTGATGCTTTATTCCTGGAGCAAAGCTGTGTAGCCTGGTCCTTGCACTAACCTTCAATCCCTCACTGATTTCGGGAGCCTCTGTGAGATACTTTCAAGGCTGCTGTCTCTACATGCTCAGTTCTGTTAAATTGAATGGGCCCTAAAGGTGTTTTAACTCTTGCTAGTATTGAAATTGCAGTCTTTTTAGGTGACTTATACCCCCCCAAAGTGTAGCACAAAAGCAATTTTTAATCCTTTTTTTCTCAAATTTTCACTCCTATTTATTTCTCTAGATGCAACAATAATTAATATCACAGAACTAACAAGAGGTATAACCTGAAAAGGGAATAAATAGAATATGACTCAATGCTTACTGACTTTTTATGCTTACTTTTTGTCATTTGGGTAGGAACTGGATGGAATTCAGAATGTCCAGGCAGAAGCAATATGAGTACAACCACAAGATGACCCAGGAACTGGTGAGTTTAGTTCAAATACTCAGAACATACTTCCAATATTTCAGTTAATGAGAGCTATAGAATAAGGGATTGACAAGTTCAAGGAACAGGCTTATGCTTCACAGAAGCAGCTAAGAGAGACATATCAAGGACCCATTCCTGAACAAAGAGAAATTTATGTTAAATCAAGAAGTGAATTTATTGGATTAGCAGAGGACTTTTTTATAAATCTCATTAGTGGGTATTTTTGTATAGAAATTAAAATTATTTCTTAATGCAACAAGGGGGACATCCTCAGCCACACTGGGTTGGAGCTGCCTGGAACCCCAACAGTCAAACCCCCAGGACAGGGCGTGGCTCAGAGCCCTGGCAAATATTGTGAGTCCCTCCTTTTTCCAGCTCCACAATCTAGCTGGATGCTACAAACAGCAGTGGTGTTTTCATTGTCTGATACTGGAAGAAAATTGTAGGTACTAACAACAACTAGCCTTACATGCTGAAACATTACCATAAATATTGTTCAAGCAACCCTGTTGCAGCTGCTCCGAGAGATTTGCAGAAGAAAATGAATCAGTGAATATCTAAAGTAATTGTATCATAGTTCTCTTTCTCTCTTATGTCACAATAAATAGAAGGTAATCCCATTTTAATCATGTCTTTGCTCCAGCCCAGTTCAAGACTACTGAGTCATCACTGACTGCAGGGGATTTGCCACTAGTTTAAGCTAGTAACACAAAGGGCTGAATTTGGTTGCCCACTTATATCAAACATTCAGATACCATGCAGGTTGTGTATCTCCTTCAGAACAAAAACACATTGACATTTTTGTCAGAAAGGGCTTTACAGAGTATGAATTTCACAATAAATAAGTTCTGGTAGGCATAAATCATTCAGGTAGTTTGTATCATGCTTCACTTAATCCCATCATTGCAGGGCTCTTCTAGATCCTCCATTATCAAATCCTGCTGGTTATTCACCCAGTTTCCTTTCTTAACTGTCTTCCTCTCCTCCTCAGCATTTCGACAAGCTTGATCCTGGGGTGTCTGGTAGTTGGCAGCTGGCAAAATGGCATTGCTCTGGCCTCGGTGAGAATAGACCTCTCTCTGAACGATCTCCCTATAGCAGAGCTGAAGTTTAAAGGCTGCCTGAAAGCCTCGGCGAAAGTTTTCATTAAAGAAACCGTAGATGATGGGGTTAACGCTGCTGTTGAAAAAGGCCAGCCAGTGAGCGAAGGGGTAGATATAAATGTTGATGATCTGCAGCTGGATATCTGAAAGGTTGGCGTAGTCTGAGAGCATCATCAGAGTCCACAGGGGAAGCCAGGACAGCGTGAACAGCAAAGCCACAATAATGAGCATTTTGATGACTTTTTGTTTCTTCTTAGACACACTGTGCCGCTGCTCCTGGCTGTGTTTTCCCACCATGGGCATTGCTGTGTTGAAGAGAGCAATGCTTATCCTAGCATACATTATAATAATAAGCGACAGGGGAGCCAGGTAGATGTTGGCAAACAGAACTGTTGTATAGATTTTCCTCATTCCCGGGTTAGGCCAGTCCTCCCGGCACCAGTATACTGGGCGGGTTTCATTGCCGTAGCCAAGGATCACCCTGAAATGTTTCTCCTCTTGTACCTGCAGCATGACTGCAGAAGGACACATGATGGCGATGGCCAGAATCCAGATGACTGCTATAATGGCAACTGCCTTTGAAATGGTCAGCTTCTGCTTAAATGGATAAACAATGCATCGAAACCTGTGGCAAAGACACATGGGGACATATGTGGAGAAGCCATTTAAGGCATGCTTAATCAGACAGGCAAGCATACACACATGTTTTAAATTGCAGGTTTTCTTTAAAGTCTAGATGGAATCACCTCCTCATCCTTCATAAACCAGTGGAGGTGCATTTAGTTGCTCCACTTAACAGCTGTGTTAGTAAAAACAACTTTAAAAAAACAGTCATATTTCTCCATATGATAAAATTTCCATATGATAAAATTTCTCCATTTTGATCTGTCCCCATACCAGCCTGCTGCTTCTGCTACTTCCTTTAACCAAAGCAGGTACTAGTGCCTCTACTATCTAGCTTAATAGCTAAGGAACAAACCAATTCTAGGCAGCCAGGTGTAGCCCAGCTGTACCATCTTTAAGAAATACCCAGCGGATGAGCAAATTGCTATGGCTGCTCTTCAGACCAGGCCACATTTTGTTTTGCTTAATCATCTTAGGAGCAAAATACATATAATTTATTGCAGTATTGTGTGGATTAATTAATTGGCCTCAGGTGGCCAGAGGGAGATGAAAGTGACAGTTTATACTCTCTGTATCATCTTACCTGTCTACAGCAATAGCAACTAGAGTGAAGACAGAGGCAGAAACAGAGATTCCTTGGACCATTCCGCTCATCTTGCAAACCAGGCTCCCAAAAGGCCATCCTGGAAGGAAGCAGGCAATTGAAATTGTTGCCATCTCACTGCAGCACTATGCTTATATGCATAAGAGGAAATTTCCACCCCAGAACTAATACATTTCTTTTGCTCTGCCAGGCCATAGCAGGTGTTAGGGAGGCAGTGGTTATGTAAAAAAATGCTTTGCCAAATGCTTTGGGTGAGTTTCTGATATTTCAAAAACCAGCAAAGCAAACATTTGTGGTTTACCATCCCATTAAAACAAGATCTCAAGACAAAAAAAAAAAAAAAAGATAACTGACCACTACAACTGCTTTGTTCTCAGTATTTGGCTCATAGCATCTCCCAAATTTTCCTAAATGTATAACCTGGTAGTGAGAGAATCCCTTCCTAAAGATGAGGGATGTAGAAGTCAGAAAGGACAGCCCCAGTCAGAAGGTGGCTTAGAGGCTTGTTTTCCTCACCTTTGTCTTCCAATGACTTGAAATGCCTACAGAGCCCACTCAGAGATGCGTACCTGGCCCTCAGGGCCCCTGTGGAGGCCAGCACTCAGAAATGCTTGCAAGTCCCCCTCAAGCTCTTTTTGCCGTGTGGTACAAACCATCCTACCTGCAATTATGTTGTCCAGGAGGGTGGTGGGCATGCAGAAGATTCCCACCAGTAAATCACTGACAGCCAGGTTTAAGATGAAAAGGTTTGTGACTGTATGCATGTGTTTGCTTCTCAGGACAATAAAGCAAACCACTCCATTGCCAACCATACAGAGTAGGAAGATCAGGAGGTAAGAGACGATGAAGACAGCTGCCACTGAAGGCTGATGAAGGTAGAAGTCCACGTAGGAGACATTGCCTTCTAAGTAGAGGTACTTGTAAGTCCCATTATAATTCAGTAAGTGAAGCCAATCGAATGAAGAGTTTGAGTCCATTTTCTGACTCATGTTGTCATGTGCCTTGAAAGATATTTTTTAGAAGGTCATTTTAGTGTGTTTGAAAATGATCTGAAGAAATGTGACTAGTTTGGATATACTGTATGCTGAAATACATGCAAAGCTCATCCCTCCATGGCTTATTTTAACAGTCCACGTTCTGAGCCTCCCCAGATAGGAAAAGCAACAAATACTATGAATTTGATTTTATGACACAGGCATACAAAAGTGACCAGTGAGAGTGCTGAAGGCTTTCTTCCTTCTGCAGGCTTTAAAAGTCCTTCATTTCCCAAAGAAGAGGAAAGCCAGACAGAATGTAAACAGGCCTATTGTATTGTGTCAAGTAAACAAACCAACAACTTGAACAGTTTATTTTGAGAAAAAAAAAATCAGAATTCTTGAGAAATTGGTTTACTCAACAGTTTGAGTAATCTGGCATTTAGGCAACAGTGAGATTGCTGAGCCATAAAAAACAGTGATTAAGTTAAAGATTTCTGAAGTGGCACAAACCTTCTGCCTGAATGTGTCTAAATCCAATCCCATTTCATTGCAAAGGAAACATTTTTGTGTACAGCTGGTATTAGACCACAGTTGGTTTTACTTCCCTGCTTACAAGCCACATAGGTCAGGAGATGAGCCTGCAAACATGAAGGACTGCACTGTGTCTAAAACATACTGAGACACAAGATAGCTGGATTAATTTCCTAGCGCTGCTACTGAATTTCCATGTGATCTTGGGGAATTCATAACCTCTCCATGTTGCATTTTTCCTGCTATAAAATGTGAGTAATACTTTTCCCACATAGTTTATTCACACTGCAAAGTAAATTCTCCCATTTTTTTTTATTTTATTAGATTACTGTTGGCAAAAACTAAAAGCTTTTTCGAGAGATTTTTTTCATCTGAACTTTCTTGATATTATATCATATCAGTTTCAAACTACAAGTATTTGAGTCTGCTGTGCTGTAGCAGCAATGTTTTTGCTGGTGTGATGTCTTGAATATAAGAGATCCAAGACTTTTTGAGTGTTTGATGACGATAAAAGAATTAATTTAAGGCAGGTACAGAATTTCTATGCCCCAAATTTACTTACTTCCAAATGTAACTGAATGATACTATTATAACTTTGTAGGCCAGAATCTGTTTTTCTTGTCCTGCAGCACCTCTAGTTATACAAGACTGGGGTGTTGTGCTCCCCCTGCCCACAACCTGACTTGTATTTTCCATAATCTTATTCAAGTGATATTCATTAGTGACAATCCTGATGGATGCATCTGATTGTGATGGCTGCATCTACCTCAAAGTGGATTTGTGGGAGACAGGTAACAAGGCAATAGCCAAGGGCTAATTTAAACAATGCTAACCACAGTGCTGATCAATGCTCAACTCAAGCTAAATTTGGAAGAAACTAACTTCTGTAGTCTGTATGTAAAAAGTCAATTACCTTACTCCATCAATAGTAGACAGCCTAGGGCCTGTTGAGCTTTCCTGCATGGCAGCAGGCTGCCTGCCAGGATCTCCCCCTGAACAGAGATGCTGCACCAAAATTCTAAATCAGATCTTAACTGTGACAAACTTCTGACATCTACATTATACAACTCATGCAGAAGTGGTATGAATCTACTTAACATGGCAGCACTGGCATCTTGACATTTAGAGCAGACACCAGATAACCTGGAAGCGACAGTCAAAATTTTTTTCCACGTTTATTTTATCTACCAGATGGAGGTGTCTAAACAGGGGGATGGAGGTGTTCCTAACTTCAAAGAATAGTAAAATGAATTGGTAGCAGAAAGCATAAAATTAATGTATGGGTGCAGGGGCCTTCAGGACACTTACAAATTCCTTAGTATAAATGGAATTTAAATTAAGGCACAAGCATCCAAATCCTGATGAGCTTGTATGTGAGGGAAGGAAAGTGCTGGCTACACCTCTTTCCTTATGAAAGGAAGCTTGGAGAAGGCCCTTTTTTGTGCTGTTAAGGTTTCAGCTGTCTCCCCAGATACGTTATTGTGTGCTGTGTGCTGATTTTCCCGTATCTGTGGAATAAGGATGGAAGGTAACATTCTTTTGTCACTCCACATATGGCAGCCCTCTCCCCGGGAAAAGAAAATGAGTGTTAGGTACCAATGCTGAAAAGAGCATGGTTTTTTTTCTTCATTCTTCTTGCTAAGTTTTACTTAAAAGAGTTCCTAATTTACTTTGTCTCTGCCTGTTGTTCCCTGATATATTTACTCACATGTAATTCTCAGGAAAGCATTGCAGCTTCTCTATATTTTACTTGTCAATGAAATCCAATAACATCAAAGTTTCTGCAGTGTTTTCATTCCAGGTAGCAAATGCAGTAAAAAAAATATTTGGTTTGATATGCCTCAGGGTTGGAACAAGCAGAGTAGTGAAGAGAAAGTCATGTTCTGGTGTCTTCTGCCTTTTTAGCAGTCCACAGCAGAACAATATTTGTAATGGGTCTCTATTTTTACATATTCATTAAAATGTCTGCATGTTAAGGTATGCAGACAAGAATCTGGAATGTGTCTCAAAAAAAATGGCTGCTTGTATGTTTTAACAAAGCAGTGTATACAAGCTAGCTGTAATAATTGTATATTCTCTCTGGCTGTCCTTATGGATAAATATTGTTTATTATTTTTATTGGCTTTATTCAACATATTTTTAAAACTATTGAAAATATTTTTATTCGAATGTGTTATGTGCCAAATGCTTTAACTAGCCAGGTATCAGAGTCAGCTGCTGTGGAAAGTGTTTTAATGCCGATTTTACTGTTTGCTCAAGATAGTAGGCACTGATACATTTGCATACAAACATGCCTGAGATAAACAGGGTTGGCAGAATTCAAATATAGATATTTGACAATAGTTGTTTACACTGTTCCTTTAATCACAGATCTGGAGCTTGTGCTTTATAAATCCCAAGAGATGCTGCATCACTAAAACCCTGTTTAAAGCTTAGCATCTCACACCCTCCCTCTTGGCTCGTGACAAGAAATAGTTATTATTGCTCCCTTTCCTCATCATCCCCCAGCCAGTTTCTCAGGGCAGTAAGGAGCAGGAGCCCAGGCTCTCCCCACCCAGGGAGATGGCTGTCTAGGTGAGCAGCAGAGGCAGTGGGGTGCCTAGCTCGGTGCAGCTGTGCTGGGTGAGGCCCAAGTCTGGAACAAGGAATCTGGAATCTGTAACACACCACTGTTTGCTCTCTAGCTCCAAGTCACTTCTGAACCTATCAAGTATTAATCAAGTTAGAAATGCAAGGGCTCTTACATTCAAGCCGTCTTTTCCTGATGGCTAGTGATGAGAGTAAGCAAGGAGCTTGGTTTAACACAGGAGAAGTTAAAGAGCGAGGAATGGAGCAGACAGTGCCAATGATCTGACATTTGTTACATGTTTAGAGTAAAAGTGAGGGATGGAGCCACCCTAGACTAATTGCTGCATTTTAGGCAGTAAATGCAGCTGTGTGAGAAAATCAGAGTTCTACTCTGTGTGGAGTAAGCACAAGACTTGTGCTCCTGGTTTTGAAAATTTTGGCAAAGAGTAGCAATACACCCAGTCCCAAGAGTTGGGAAAAAGTCAGACCCTCAACCCCTTTTCATCCTCTAACAAAAATAAACATGTATTTGGCTCCTTTATTTTAGCTTCTCTGAGGTTCCACCTAAATTCATGTTCTCCAACATTTCTCTGCAGATAGGACAGCCACAAACATGCTCTTTAAAAATTATCATTGTAAATTAACACTATTTTTCTTCTGTAATCCTTTGCTACCCAGAGGTGGTACTTTAAGACAGACACTCTAGCTTGAGGAAGATGGTTCTTGTCTCATGTTGTGCTCCCAGCCCCCATGAACAATGGGACCCATACTGTCACAAAGCAGTTCTGCCTTCCCTGCCTTCTGTAGTTTGGCTTTTTGAGGGGTCCGTGACCGTATGAGGGAAAAGTTCTTTGTCATTCCATGATAGAGGAACATTGTTGCTGCTTTGCACCTTATATACACAACCATTCACAGGTTACACAGGCTTTTGCTGGGCTTTTTACAAGTACCAATTGTTTCACAGGTGATACTAATACGAGGCTTTGGAATGTGGAGTACAAACCCTTGTGGGTCATTCCTATGCAGTGGCAGTATACTAGTGAATTACTTATGGTTCTGTTCATTAGGACAACTGAAATGATATCTTTTCACACTAAGAGCAGGAGGAATAACTTCATAATTATTTTTTGGATACATAGCTTGGATTTTTTATCTTTTTCTGACAATGTGTTGTAAAGCAACAGCTTTCAATCTTTTCAGTAATGAACTCTGGAATAGTTTTTGTTTGTAACTGATAAACAAGAAGTTGCAAACAGCCTCAAGGCAAAACTGGAGCTGTGTCTGTCTTATGTGGTCTGATCACAGTTGCACTAATGAAATTTTATATCATTGTAGCTGTAGCAAATGGCAAATTTGCCATACAAGTACCATAGCTTACAGGAAATGGAAAATAGACATGGATTTTTATTATATTGTAGCTGAGGTGGAAAAAGATTGGATTGAAGAAGAAATGAAGGTAGTGCCTTGTGTTATCACAAGATACTTGCCAGTTAAGAGACACTGATAAATGAGAGAGGCACAGAAGGCATGTAAGAAAGGGGAAAAAAATAATACAATGCATAAATATTACAAGATGATAAATAAAAGTAATCTGCTTCCACATGGTAATTTGATAAGGGCATGGCTTCCCTACATTTAATATTTCAGAGGAAAATTTGCAAAGAAGTAAAGTAAGATCCTCTGCTAGTGAAAAACTATCCAGTCCCATACACTGGGTTTTTTAAACACAAGGCTCATACACTGTTGAAATCCCGGTAACAGCGCCCATATACAAATATGCAGTATAAAGTCTCACAGCATAACCAGGACAATCTCAAGCCACTGGATATGAAAAAAAAAATCAATTTTCTATTTTTACAAGAACAGTTCAAGGTAATTATGAAGTAAACACAATTATTTTTGTGTTGGCCATATGGAGGAAGTCTAGTAATCACTGGAGCCAGCCAATACTGCTTCACCTTTGTGTACAACCACCTGTTTTTTTAATCTTGATTTCTGTGTGTGTGAAATCTCATCACAGAATCCTCTGAGGCTTTAGAACCTGAACAAAGATAAAGAACCTTCAGAGGCATGAAGAGAAGCATGTTTTTGTGGGAATAAAATATTTAATGTGGTAAGTGCTAAAAAATGTGTTCTTCTGTTGTCCTGAGCTCTATACTCAGTAATATGTTAACTACAGAAATTTCCTGGAGACCTTGGAAAATGATAGCCTATCTGGTCTGCTGAAAAGTTAGAAAATCCTGATGGCAAAATGCAGCCAAGGAGGGATGGCAAAAATAGCAGTACCTCATTCTCTAAGTGTCTTCGAAATAAGGAAGACAAATACATGGATTATCCTCTGACTCAAGGGATCAGATAAAGCTATTGACCAAGATGAACAAATTGTTCTTGCCTAAAAAAAAACTGTAGAAAGATCAACTGTGAACATTCCCAACTCGGTGAAGTGCTATTAACAGCTATTTTTAAGAATTAAGTAGGTCATGTAAAGTAGTATTAGAGTGGGAAGTCATCACAAGTGACCTGTGCCTTAATGAAAAGTGATGTTTTTGGAGGAAGCAAGAGCAGGGAAAGTGGTCCAATTGCCAGCCAGGCACTTGGGTTGAAAAAGACCATTTCTTGTGGAATCAGCTTAAAAACCAAAATGAAGTGCAACAGGGACACACTACACAACAGTATGCAGTGAGGCAGGAACAAGTCAAGGGAACCACTGACTGTGTGGCAGTACTGTGGCCAAGGAGCTGGGGTTTAATACCAAGTTACCAGCTGAACAAGAGGCAACAGCACCATGACATACAAAAATGGCAGGCACCCTAATAACATGCAAACAGAACACATTAAATACCTCCATGCTGTTCAGTACTCCAGGCTTATTTCATTTGCTGCATTTAGTTCTGATTGATTTCATTCTACAGATTTAGATCAAGTGCAGGAAGTCTATAGGAAGTCACAGGAAAAATCAGAGGGTTCAGAAGTATGACCTACAGGGAAATATGGTAAGATAAGGGTCATTTAATCTAAAAAGTTAAAATGTGGCAATATATTCTCCCATTTACCTGTAAATCTCAAAAATACTTTATCATAGTATCATACATCTCAATAGGTTAGACGTGAAGGATGTATGTCTGCAGTTCATTGCATCAGGGCTCATCTTTGCTTTCTCTTCCAGAGAAAGAGCGAGGCATCAGCAACAGCCAAACACCAACTTCCAGATTGAGCTCAAGTACATGACAGACAGAAGTGCAGAAACTGTCACTAACAAGTGGGAGCACCTGGGCTTGCCAAAATAAATGCCACAGGCAAGACAGCCTTTTTCCCCAAGTCAAGATTTCATTAGAGCATCATTAACTTCTTGGAAATTGTTTTAAGGTGTGGTTTAACTTCATTTTGCACTTAATGTCAGTTTCCCAAGTAAGCAGAAGTGTTGAAACTGTATAATACAAGACTTGAACTGCAAACTCTGAGGATATTTGAGTTAAAGTAGTAGAACTTACAGTATTTTATTTACCTTTTCATACATCAGAATTTCCATGATATTTTATATGAAATATCACAGAAGGTCTTATTTCGAAGTAAGGAATATCAGAGGGAAATGGAAGGCTTTTAGCTAGGAAAAAGGAAATGCCACACTAAAAATAGCAAGTTACAGTCAAATTTTTTTTTTCTTTCTTACTGGCATTTACTTCCATGAAGAAAACAAGTATACGATGAGAAGCAAATTTCTCATTTTTAAATGGGCAATTCCAGGGAAACATACAAATCCTGAAGTTGCACACAGAGCTCTTATGAATAGTCTTAAACTGTTTATCCTCCCCTAACAGCCTGAAGTGGGAACAAAAGGAAGTATTTTGTCTAAGTTACTTTTTTAAAAGATCTTAAACTATTCCTATCCTAATTATAAAGAACAACTCTATTGGTAGGATTGCTGTAATAAACAAAACAAGACTTAACTACAGATTACTCATCTGCTTGAAGCAGAAATACAAAACATTTGGCCAAAAAGCCAAATCTCAAATGTAAATCAGAAGATGCTAATAGCAGGTGAGGCATTCAGAGCAAGTTTCTTATGCTTCTCTAGAATATATAATTTTTTCCACCGCTTCATTCTTCTGACATTCAAATAATATTCACAGTTTTCATGTCAAACATTGATTTTATTACCACACTGAGAAAGCTCAAAATTTACCATAGCAAAGCCTTGCTATAGCTAAGCATCTTCAGCCATTTGCTGATGCCAATGTATGAATTTTATCCTTTCAAGCATATACACAACTCCCACCAATTTGCCCAGGAACATTCAAAATCTGAAATATCCTGTTTGGCTAATAGTTAAATATGGGGTGGAAGTCTGTCAGTTACTTGTTTTGCCTTTTTATCCATCATGAAGCTGTGCAACATACTGCACAAAGGAGAACAGGTTTTGATAGCATAAACAAATACAGCGACAGGGTTTTGAACATGAGCTGAGCAAGTCCTTGGTTAGACAGTAAAGTTGAAAGTTACTTAATACTTTGGTAGCAAAGAAAAACAGAGAAAAGTCTTTTCTGCAAGCATGTTATGATAGCAGTAACATAACATACAGGAATTCTTTGAGAATTGGAGCTTAGGCTGCTTACATATTGCTTGTCATTATACTCCTTTTTTTTTTTTTTTTTTGCTTATTGCTTAGTCAACCTTTAAGCTTCTGAATTTAAAGTTTTTCTATTTGGTGTGTCACAGGCAGTTTTAAAATATAACTAGAATCTCAGCCAACTGTTCCCTGAAATAAGGTTAAAGTAAGATTTCCACACACAGACACACTTTCCCAGCCACTTTATTAAGAAGCCTGGCAAGTCATAAGATTTTAGCTCCCTTATACTTGGAAATGGCTTTGTCATCTTCACAAATTCCCCTAAGACCACTCACAACCCAAATCTAGAAAGTTTCCCATCTATTAGTGGCCTTTTTGCAACTAGAATTTAAAGAGTCCTTTTAGCCTTAGTCATCTTTGTCCAGCAGCAGGGTGAGAAACAAGGATGGTACTACCACTAATGTCAGCAGCACAGGGGAAAATAATCATATGGCACTCAGTTGAGTAGAGTACAAGGAAACTATACAACACATTCAGTACAGGACTTGACCAGGTCATGATAAGAGACTTAAACCCAAGTCTTAAATTAACAGCTGCTGAGTCAGAAATCTAGCACATATGTGAGAGAACATCTGTTTAGAAGTTGCACAATACCTAACTGAAAGCTCTCATAATTCTTACTGAGGCTAAATTAAGGTATTAGAACACACTTCCTGTGTTTTCTGTTATGCCACCTGATGATGTTCTTGAGCTTTCAGTATAATATCATAATACATCAAGAGCACAATAACTCAGATACATCCTTTTTTAAGTTACTGCAAGTTACTTGGTGCTTAGGACACATTCAGAGGTATTAATACATAGGGTAACTTTCCTTTTGAAGGTTCACATCCACACACATACCCCACTCCATAATCTAGCACTTTTAAGTAGAGTACTGGGATTGCTACTATAAAGGAATGAATGCTGTACAAGCCAGAACTGTGCAGAAAGCTAAGCGCACTCATTCCATCTTGCCTTTGCTATTCTGACATGCATTCAGCAGAGAAGGGATGAGTTTCTCATTACATTAAGTGGGTCTTTGTGGCTAAAGAGTAAAACTTCAAAGAAAGTGCTTTAGAAAAAAAGCTAAAACAGGGAGAATGCTGCTCTTGCTGTAAACAGGGATGTGCATAGTCACTGTGTGCACCAGCATTGGCAGTGTTCTGAAAATAGGCTAGCAATCCTGCCACATTTCTTTCTTCTCCTTAGCTAACATGGGCTGATCAAACATGTTCACTACTCCTGCAAGCCAGACACTGAGCATGACATTCTTGGTGCCCTTTGCTAACCCATCATATATGGCTTGTATCTGTCCATTTTAATATATAGTTTGAATTCAGAAGGGGAAACAAGTCCCTAGTTGAGAAGATTTCAGTAGATGTAAATTATTTCCATCAAGTCCTCCTGAAATTCAGTCTGTAAGTAGCAGCTTCCCATCCATCATGGGAAATTGTCCAGGGACCTTGCTAAACATCATCTGAACTAGTCTGAGCTTTTTTCACTGGAGAGATACTCCAGTGAGCACTTAGAAGTAAGTGTGGATTAGGCTATAGGAACAGTTAAATGATCACTGCCAGTTTTTTTTTCAGCACTAAATTTCTCACTAATAGGAGATGAGCCTCCTAAATTGCCACCTTCCTGATTTTTACCATCCCCAGTCCTTCAACAGTGGCTGGATGGTAGGCACAAAGCTGAATCATCTGATCTTATGTGCAAGTTAAGGCTCTGCACATGAGTCACTCCTTGTCAGAGCACTCAGGTGGAGATGACAGCCATGTCATTTGGAGTATTGAAAGTGAACAGAGTAATTGGGGGAGTAGGTAGAAGGAGGAAGCAAGTATAATCATAGTTTAGATAGAAGCTGAAAGGTGGGACAACTATGAGATAGTCACAGTGGAAAATAAAATTGGCAAGTGAAACAAGAAATTTAGGAGCCCATCATTCAGGTTTCAAGCTAGTTCACTAGGTATGGAGAAACAGGCACCATCATGATGTAGTTTATGCCCCCTTCCCCAAATGTGGGCAGCGTAGAGGATCCTGTAATCACTGAGGAGTGAATGACCAGAACTCAGCCCAGAGTTCACTGACACCAAGTCATTAGCCCAGGCAGAAACATGGCATGGACATGTTAATTTTCAGTCTGTTGCAAACAGCCAAGAGATGCAGCAAACAAATCTGCTGTGTTGTGTCCTCTGCAGTAAGCCTCTAAGGAAGCAGTTAAGTGCTTCCTCAGGCGTCATGCAAGTGTCCCTAGAGAAAGTCCCATTCTGTGACAGGGGATGATGCTCTGGGGAAGATATGGTCCTAACTAAATAATTCAGCAGGTTAACCCACTTTCCCACCCATCCTTTCCTTGCTGTCAACCTCTCCAACTAGTTGAAGAGCCAGCGTTACCTTAAAAGCAACCCCCCCAGACAGAGAGCTGGGAGCAGTGCAAGTAGTTCAGGTCCCAAACCAAAAAATTCACTCAGACTGTTAAAGAGTGCTCCTTGGATCAAACACAGACCCAACCGAAGCACAACACTTATTTTGATGCTAACACTAAAAGAATCTGACTTTAAGCCTTAATTCATGTTGTTTTGTGTCCAAGTTAAAATTGTGTTTTAGGGTAACTCCAGAAGCTACTGTCACAGAGGTACTGCTGTGTGGGCAACAAAGGGTGACAAGATTCACAGCAGCACAAAAGTAACTGGAAATGCAAATGCAGGTAGGTATTATTGCAGCCATCTCTCCAGGCAGAGTTCAGCATTAAAACCTCAGGAGATCCAATTTGCTGTCAAAAAGTTACTCACTATAGCAAACTGAGTACAAAACCAGCATTAAGTAAAAGAAAATAACTCTATACAAGCATAAATTAAGAGAACTAAACTCAAGATATTATGTGCTCGTGACAGCTTCCTCAAGTGCCATCCTCAGCTCAGTCATCAAAACACTAACATTTCAAGCCAACCAGGACAGCATTTTTCCTGAAACTGAGGGCTTGGACAATAGAATTTGGCAAGTATTTATAACATAACCTCCTGCATGGCTTTTTAAATATTATAAAAACAAAACTTGGAAAGATATATGGATATTTTAAAAAATTTATTATTTTACCCTGAAAATTGGTTTCCATCTAGAACGATTGAAGTGGTATGAAGAATTTATGTTGTTCTTTCAGTCTCCTTTCTCCTACCTAAGAAAGTGTGAGCTGCCAGCAGCCTGAACCATAACAATACCAATGCAAATAGCACATCACAAAGGTTCTTTGCACTAGATTATATCTAAGCTTATTGTGAAAAATGGGCAAGAGCCATATAATTATTTGATTTAAATCTATTTTAGC